AGTCAACGAAGAAGTGAAAGGGTGTGGATAGATACACGATTGGTACGGTAACAAATCAATGGATTATTCGTGCATACTTTTTTTTTACCACCGCTCTCAAAGAATAACTTTTATTTATGGTCTGACTACGGGAGACTACTATTCGTGAGTTTTCGGGAATGAGTCAGAGGATTATGAGCAAGCGATGTGGGCCCCACCAAAATTTCTGCAGTGTGGCAGCTGGCTTTCTTTTCTTCGCGATTAAAGCACCACTTGTCGGGATGACGGAATACTATATTTTGGATGCCTTGGCGGCGGAGCCGGGAGGGCTCGTGGAATAGGTTAAGTATGAATACAGCATTTGGACCTGGAGTCGCAGCTGAAGGGATCTTGCTGAGTAGGAGTTGCGGTGATTCGGCGGCACTGGTATATCTTGAACTTGCTTGATTTTCATAGGCCCACCGAATTTCGAACCTATCTTGTATTTCAGGCTGAATTTTACAGCGCTTTGCATGTATTCATGAAAATGTTGAAATTTTTTCGCAGCTTCACGTGATTCATGCCGAACGTGCCGGGTCCATCTGCTCTCTTTCAACATCCAAATCCGGCCCCGGATTACTTTGCACTCTCCAGGAACCTTGAGGAGGCACAAACTTATTAATTTGACTAGATTTTCGCGTGTTTCACTGTCCAAATTGAAAAGACTTCGGCAGGGCCGGCAAGGGTCACGTGCAGCCGGGAAAAAATGTTAGTCGGACCGAACTCAGAACATAAAGGAAACAACTTCAAACAAACGCGCCTTTGTCTGAAATTGTCGAGTCTTCGACTCTTCGCTCACGATGGCACGCCACATACCCGACGAAATAACCCACGAAATCCTCTATCCTGCTCTTCGGGTACCTGATGAAGTGTTCTCGGCCATATCTCCCCGCGCCCCCTCTACTGTCGTCTCCTCCGAGTCCAGTTCCGCGTACCTGCTCGTTTCCAAGTCATGGCTTCGCGTCGGAACCCCTCTGGTATACAACGTCGTGATCATCCGATCCAAAGCCCAAGCCCAGGCCTTGGCCGTAACGCTTCGCTCCAACCCCGACTTGGGCCGATTCATCAAGAAGCTACGCGTCGAGGGCGGATACGCTATTTCCATGCTCAAAATTCTGCAGACTGCCAAGAATCTCACGGACTTATATCTCTCCCTTGATATCGAGAAATCCGACAACGCGTGCGGCATGTGCCGTGGCCTGCCATTGATCGACCCCGTCCGTGTCATCCTTCACTGCGGACCGATGTACTACACCACCAAATCGGTGGCAAAGCTTGTAGATGCACTCGCGGAGTCCATCCCCAAATGGAAGAATCTGGTGCATTCTGTTTTGCCTCTTCCATCTTTCTTGTTTTCACCCAATGAAACATTAGGTCGTGTTTGAAGTACCGCATTACGACTATGAAATTCGTTCAGGGATTACAGACACAATTTCCGAAGCATTGAAGGCTTCCCCGACCCTTCACACCCTAGTAGTATCGGATCCCGGGCGCGAGCTCTTCCGGGGCGGCCGTGTAGCCCTATATCTCTTGACCATCGCGGCGAACCCATCTTTGAAAGATATTAAGCCGATGGTTCAGTCTCGAAGGCCGCTGAGACCAGAGTTTTTCGACACAGTCCAGAAAAATGCTCGGCTCAAAGCTCTCATTGACCTCGAGTAAGCTTGCTGTAGAAGTCTTCCTTGCCCCGTTAACAACATAACATAGACCATTCAACATCATACCCTTCATTTACCCTCCGCAACTCGCCGCTGATCCAGAGCTGGAAGATGTCATTTGGGGCCGGGTGCTCTGTTTTGCGATTCACGATGCTGGGCCCGGATTCGATCCGGATCATCGTACTTTGGATTACCCCGACTCTGACTCCGACATTTCTGACTACATGTATGATCGCCCTGCAAAATCCGTGCTACCCCTCCTAGTCTGTAAACGATTTTTGGTAAGTTATCCATGACCTTCATCGGGCCTCAGTTCCTCATGCGACGCAGCGCCTCGGGATTCCATATCTCTACGAGAACCCCGTCATAGAATACTCCTTACAGATGCTGACATTTACGCGCCAACTTATGAAACAGCCCTCCCTCGGCTTGCACGTCCGCCGCCTGTCTATTTCCAACCCCGACAACGACGAAACCGATCAATCACTGTTCGAAGAGATCCTCCCTCTCACACCAAATCTGGTGGTGTTGTATGCCCCCGGCTTCTCTATGTCCGCGAAGACGTTCGCGTCTTTAGGCGCTCTGACTGGAAAAAGCCTGCATACATTCGATGGAGTGATTACTAACAAGACCAAGAAAATGGACCCTGCTGTCTTATCGCGCTTTTCGCGGCTTCGGACACTCACTTGGGACTCTTCCATTGTGTTTAAGACCCCCTCCAAATTTACCCCAGAAGCCACATTCAATGATCTCGTAGATCTGACTGTCCACGAAGCTGATATCTCGTTTTTTGATGTTCTGTCGCAGATGGAGTACGTTCAAAATTCCATTATCTCATCTTAGTTGCCTAATATCTCACTGCGTCAGGCTTCCCTCATTGCGCAGCGTCGGTTTTGCATACAACGCCGTCGCGACTGGCAGCAACCTCTTCTTTCAGAAGCACGGGACGAAACTCCAAGAGTTGACGGTTTCGGTAATCCAGCTGGATTTCGGTCTCGACTTCTTCAGCACTTGTCCTTCCTTGAAGGTGCTTGGGATATCTTCCCGTACGACGGTACATTTGGTCGTTCCGTTCTATGTTGGGAGTGCATGTATCTTAAAGCATGTTGCAGACCGGTCCGACACAGCGTGCTAGTTTCGCATTACGTGACCCACACACGTCCCTTGAGCGCATCATATTCAAACCATTCTTTTATATGAAGTATGTGCATCCCAACATTTCGCAAAACGGAGCTGGCTGACCTTTGGGTGAAAAAGCTTTGAGAGAGAAGAGCAACAAAAACTGGAAGGTCTGTTACTCGGTCTCGACCGTACAGTGTTTCCTGCGTTGCGGGAGATCCAACACCTGCATTTCGAGTGGCCCCTTGCAGAGTACGTGTCGTGCAGTATTGAGGGTTTAAGGTGCTATTTCGTGATCCTCTTTTTAGGCCGGAGATTTCGAAAAGCTGCTGGGTGACGTGGGCGGAGATGCTTCGGGAACGAGATATTCATTTGGTTGATGTAAACGGCGTGCGGTGGCGACGGCGATTGCAGTTCAGAAAGGCAACAAAGAAGACATGAAAGGGGTGGTACGGACGTTGGTAGGCGCTCGAGCATGGTACGGCGACGAATTACTTCAGGTATTGTTTGTGAGTTTTCAAGATGTCAATGATTCAGAGGATTACGGGCAAGATGCGCCCCCCCCCCCCCCGCGAAAACTGCAAGTGCGTCTTGTTTTTTCTTCGCGGTTCAGAATCGAGACGTCCGACGGGCTGGGAACAAGTGGTGGTCTCACTCGGTGTTTGAATTGCGCCGCTGCCTTCGCTTTCGCGCCCCGAATTACCCCAATGGGCTGAGCCGCTGTTATATAATTATCCATTCCCTCTCATTGAAGGAAACATACATACAAGTACTAGAACCAGGAAGGACCGGTCGCCAATTTTTATTTTACACCGGATATACGGGAATCGGGTTGCGACGCGACGGACGGAAATTCGAGGGCTTGCAGGATACAGGACATACTTTCTATTATAGCAATCAAGGAGATAAGCTATTAATGCGGGGTCGCATGGTGACTATCCTGACGTCGTAAATGAATCGCGCCGGACTTCAAGATTGAAGCTACAGCCTGCCATTGGTGGCAGGCGGGATGACCCGGATGAGCACATAGAGTTAAGTAACCCTGGACCGGCATTCAACGAATCGTAAAGCCGTTAGATCCGAGCCCGTCAATGATATAATGCCAGTGAATGTTTGGGGTGGAAGCGAGAATTTATACGGAGGATGCCAACTTGGAGTGCGAATAGCGGTGGTGTTGGATCGTCGGGGTTCTCGGTCGTGCAACTGGTGCGAGCAGCGTTGAAGCTGAAGGTCCGAGTGTTACTTGATGGATTGGCGGTGGTTATCGGGTTGAGGGAAAGAGGCAGCGCTGTTGCAAAGTTAAAAAAACTTCAGGCCATGGATCCGGGATGAACTGGATTTTCGAGATGACACTGATAGACTCTGAAACAGAATTGGAGAGGTTGTAGAACGAGCTGCGAGCGACGGCCTCGTCATTACGTGTTCCCCTCAAAAGATTCAGGGACCAAACGCCGTTTAGCAGGCCGTTGTGCAGAAAAATGTGGCCGATATTCACCATAGATCGTGATGTTTTGCATCGGTCCAAGTTCGGGTGGGATTTTAGGGAACCAGCCAGCGGAGTCCGAGTCGGAGGCTCGGATGCATTTCAATGGAGATACTACGGACGGTCCATACTAAAAAATGAACCCAAAAGAACCCACCTGGGCGCTTAAAATTGAGCCCGCCGACGTGGATCCCGACGAAGATGTTCAAAGGGTTGAAGTTGAACTTCACCATGGAATTTCAACCGATGGCACGTGATCAGTTCAACCCCCCTCGAAATTCATTGTTCAAAGTTTCGACTGCGCTCGGTAAATGTGAATCCGTCGCTTATTTGTGCTCAGACTGGATAAATAAAATAGAATAATTATTTGATAGGAAAAAAGGCACAAAGGTGAAAAATGGCCTAGCCCCGAGTCGAACAGGGGTCTTCCTCATACTTCAAGTGTGCTTAAAGACACTGCGAGGGCGTGTTGCCAGTACACTACTAGGCCAACAGAAAGGTTCTTCGGATTTGGAGTAACAGTTTCTCGGTGGAGGGTACAGCACGAGGACTTTTTTTGACAGCAGGTCTGGGGCGTGAATAAAATTTGGATGAGGTTGGACTACGCGGGGCTCTCAGAGTTGGTGAGAAGTCACAAGTCGGTGAGATGATTTCTTCTCAGCACAAATAAGGACCCATAAAAAAAAAGATGATCCAGAAAAAAATTGTATCGTTCCACGAGATGGCCTAGCCCTGAATTGAACAGGGGTCTTCCTATGTGAAATTTTTCGCTAGTCATTTGTAAAGGACATGTTGCCGCTACACCACCAGGCCGTGCTTACTTTGGTTGAATCTGGTCTGAGGCTGGGTCGAGAAATACAAAAACCAAAAAACTAAACAGTCTGACCCCGAGTTGAACAGGGATCTTCCTGGGATACACTATGCTAGCACAATAATTACACAAGATATGTTGCCATTACACCACCAGGCCATACTTGGCTTGGTTGAATCTGGGATACGAGTCTGAAACTGGGTCAAGAATACAAAAAAATCATCCAAACAACAACTGAATGGCCTGACCCTGAGTTGAACAGGGATCTTCCTGAGATATGCTTATTATCTTGGACAATCATACAGGACATGTTGCCATTACACCACCAGGCCGTGCTTATTTTGGTTGAACTTGGGATGAGGTGACGAAGGGAGTTGGTCAGAAATCTATAAAAGACTTGACCATTAAAGCAAATGAATGGCCTGGCCCCAAATTGAACAGGGATCTTCCTCAGATATGTTCCGTACAAGTGAATTATACAGGACATGTTGCCATTACACCACCAGGCCGCACTTATGGTTGGGTTGAATTTGAGTGAGGTGGCGAAGGGAGTTGGGTCAGAATCCAAAAGCCTAAAAAATAAATGGCGTGGCCCAGATTCGAACGAGGATCTTCCTGTGATACATATATCATACAGCGCATCGTCAAATTTGAACAGGACATGTTGCCATTACACCACCAGACCATTACTTATTCTAGCTGAATTTGGGATGAGGTGACAAAGGGAGGTTGGGTCAGAAATCTAAAAAACTGAGCAGAGAGGGGGATGACCTGGCCCCGAGTTGAACGGGGAACTTCCTCTGAAATTTAACCAAATTTTGACGAAGTTACTAAGGTGAGAGGTTGTGTTGCCAGTACACCACCGGGCCGTGATTGTTTTGGTTGAATTTGGGATGGGAGTCGAGGAAGGGAGGTCGAGGGATAAAATGGGAAAAAGTACAACATGTGTACTACACATGGCCTGGCCCCGAGTCGAACAGGGATCTTCCTCTTATTACAACACCAATATTTAAAATTCAGAGGACATGTTACCGGTACACCACCAGACCACTCTTCAATGGGATAAAAGGCAGTGAATGGAAAGACAAATGGTACGGGAGTTTCGCTAGACAAGATTGAAAGAACGCGGGTTTAAGTTTGAGCTCGAGCAAGGATGGACCGTAGACCGCGGGATGGAGGTAGAGAGGGCAAGGTTAGATACGCGTATTTTCGGCCGATAATTGCGAGGATTGAGTGGGAAATTGCGCGCGACGACGGGGGTAAGTAAAATTAGGCGAAATGCAAGGTCCGTTGCAGGGCTGGTCGGTAGATCCGGAGAGGCGAGGTGCAAGGAATGTTTCAAGTACTGCCCCATGACACCAAAGTATAAAAGGGAACACGGGATTTGTGTGTCCCTCTAATTGAACCATGTCTTCTTCGCTGCAAGTCCCAGGCCGTCCTCCGCTGAGCAGCAACGGCTCCGAGAAGCTCGTCAAGGACCTGCCTGGGTACACGACCCCCGTGTTCGCGGGCAAGGACGCGCAGAGGACGCTCGTGGAGAAGGAGGTCGCGGCCAAGGGCTTCGTCCCCGCGCCGCTCGTCTCTGGCGAGGTCGCGTGGTTCTACACCAACCTCGGCATCGACGACACCTACTTTGCCAACGAGAGCCCCGCGGTCATCAGCGACCACATCATCGCCCTCTACGCCGCGAAGATCCAGGCGTACACAAAGCACGAGGAGAGCATCGTCATCGACCTCGAGAAGATAAACGACGCCGGCGCGGGCGCGACTTTCATCCACACCAGCCCCCCCGGTGTCACCTCCACCGAGGGCCCCGGTGCCGCGTGCGAGGCGCGCATCGATGACTTGTTTCTGGACACCGAGATCCCGTATCGACTGGAGACGTTCCGCAGCCAGGGCGCGGTGAGCGCAACGGCGTCGCAGCAGCTGCGGTGCTACTTTGTCTCGCGCTGTGCGTTCCCGCCGCTGCCCAAGGAGGACACGGACGACATCCGCGCGTACTCGGATCCTGTGTTTTTGGAGAAGGCGTCGGAGAACACGCTCGCGATATACCAGAGCGCGATGCAGGCCGTCAAGGAGCGCCGCTATGGGCCGGTGTTGAGCCATTATCAGGTCGATCTTTCTTTCCTCGTTATATTTTGAATAACTACTTACTCACATCGCCACGCAGGTCGAGGGGACGCGCCAGCACCGCCTCGTCATCGCGTACGACTCGCGCGCGTCGGGCACGCGCCACTTCTTCTCCGCCCTCTCCAACCTCTACCACTTCTACGCGCTCTACTCCGTCCGCAAGTACGTCGAGCAGTTCTCCAACGGCGTCACCATCATCAGCCTCTACCTCAACCCCCTCCCTGCGGGTGCCTTGGGTGCGTTTTCTCTCCTCTTTTCCTTTTCCTTCCCTTCCCTTCTCTACTCCCTGCTGATATTTATTTTATTCTAGGCACCCAAACCCCCGCCCCGCCCATCGAGCACTCGATCTACCAGGTCATGAAGGAGGCCAGCCTCCTCTTCTGCCTCCCCGACAACCCCTTCTTCCTCCCCAAGGCCCCTAGCAGCCATGCAGTCCAGGAGGCGACGTATGCGTGTATGTGTTCCTTCTTTTTCGTTTTCTTTGTTATGCGTTATTCGTTATTCGTTCTTTTCGTTGTTCGTTCTTTTTGGGGTTCCTTCCTGCTCTTCCTGGGGGCTTGGCGCTGCGCGCGTTCCAGCGGGACACTTCTGCGTGTCTTTCCCTTTTCTTTGCGATTCGTTTCTTTCTTTTTTTGTGTTTCGTTTTCTTTGCCTCGGGCGTTCGCGTCCGCCTGCGTTTCTTTTCTTTTCTTTTCCTTTCCCTTTTGCTTTGCTTCGTTTGGGTTCCGTTCGCGTTCGTTCGCGCTCGTATGCGCGTTCCCTCGCTTTCGCCTCTACCTCTCGTATGCGCGTTCTCTTTCCCTTGAACGGTCGCGTTCGGCGGGGCGCTTTCGATTTCGATTTCGGAGCGCGAACGCCTGTGGGGATATCTACCTTGGTACAGCCGACGCGCGCGGCTCGGGCTCGGGCGGGGATAGTTGCCGGGGGCGGGATGGGACAGGTTGTTTGCAATTGCTCTGTTGGGCACTACGCGCTGTGTGTTGAGTGCCCGGGGCTGGGGATGGGATGGGATGCGGGGATTTGTGCGTGTCCGCGCGATCCGGACGTGTCATTTGGATGGTGGATGTATGCGCGGCGCGATGACCACCGCACTCTTCTCTGTCTTTCATTTCTCTCGTTCTACCACTTCCCTCCTGCTTCTCTCTCGCTCTTTCGCTCCCCTTCCCCTTTTTTGCTCGCTCTGTCTTATCAATTCCTTTCCCTTGCTTCCCTTCCTTCCCCTTCTTCCTCCCCTCCTTCTTTCTTTCACTTCTCCCTTCTCCCTTCTTCCTTCTTCCTTCCCCCTTTCCTCATGAACCTCCATTCTGACCCGTGCTGACTGCCCTTCCCCTTCTCCCCTTCACGAACACCGAACAGACGCCGGCTGGATCTTCGCGCAGCACTTTTGCAACCGCCTCGGGCCCGCGTACCTCTCGCTGCGCAACGTGCTCGACGAGGCGGACCCGGCGCATGCGGAGGTGCGTTTCGTTTGCTTGTTTCTTTCTCTCCCCTCCCCTTTGTCTCTTTCTCCCCCCGTCCCCCCCTTGTTTCGACACGCATATGCGGACGACGTCGATTTTGCTGTTGAGACTATGGTTCTTTTTTGATGATACTACGCTACGAGTTAACGAACGAGCGCTAACTGCAACGCACGCAGGTCCTAAGCGACATCAAGCGCCGCTTCCGCGAGGAGACGTTCACGCGGGAGAGCATTGCGGGTGTGATTAGCGCGTATCCGGAGCTGGTGGGTGGCGAATTCTCGTTCCTATTTTATGAATCCTCATCCGAACATACCACCCCGTCACCACCCACCCCCATCCCGCTCCCCCCTACCCACTCGCCCCGTCACCGTTCCATACTAACCCCATCCCACTCAGATCCGCCTCCTCTACGTCAACTTCGCGCTGACGCACTACCCCGCGTCGCCCGAGGACGACGCCGCGCAGCTCATGCCGACGCTCTCGTACCAGCGCCTCACCGCCGCGCAGCCGCTGAGCGACGCAGAGCTGCACGATAAGCTGAGGCGGACGGTGCCGAATAAGGGCGATTTGCAGGTGTTGGAGAGTTTTTTGGTGTTTAATAAGTGGGTTCTCTCTTCCCTCGATGGTTTTTCCGTTGGCCCGTTTGGTTGCGCTGGCGAAGAGAAGAGCGGAGGGCCGGCGATAGTGTTGAGAGACGCGCTGACGCACGCGCGCACACAGACACATCCTCAAGACGAACTTTTACCAGCCGACGAAGGTTGCGCTCAGCTTCCGCCTCGCGCCCGACTTCCTCCCCGAGGTCGAGTACCCGAAGAAGCCGTTTGGGATGTTTATCGTTATCGGTCAGTCGGCTTCCCCTTACTTTCATTTCACAAACACGAGGCGTTGCGCTCTTGGCGAGTCGCACGCTGCTCTTTTCCTTTCTGTTGCAAGATGAGCACACCACTGACCGACGACGCGCAGGCAACGAGTTCCGCGGGTTCCACATCCGCTTCCGCGACGTCGCGCGCGGGGGGATCCGGATCGTCATGTCGCGCAATAAAGAGTGTGTTTCGCGCTTCCTTTTCTTTTGGATTCGCGCGCTGACATGCGGCAGGAACTACTCGATCAACCAGCGCATGCTCTTTGACGAGAACTATGGGCTCGCGTCGACGCAATCGCTCAAGAACAAGGATATCCCCGAGGGCGGGGCAAAGGGGACGATTTTGCCGTCGTGCGTCTCTCGCATCTTTGCTTACACCGCATCCTTTTTTAAATTCTAATTCGCACTGCCAGTCTCGGCGCAAGTCCGCGCCTGTGCTTCGAGAAGTACGTCGATGTGCGTCCCGTCCTTTTATTTCGGAGTCCGAGCGTAAGACTGACGGCGGGGCAGAGTATCGTGGACCTGCTCATCCCGGGCCAGTCGCCGGGGATCAAGGAGCGGCTAGTGGATCTGTATGGCAAGCCGGAGCTGCTGTTCTTTGGGCCGGATGGTGCGTTCTCCCTTCCTCGAGTCGGCTCGTTGCTGATTCAATGTGTGCGCAGAGGGTACGGCGGACATGATGGACTGGGCTGCGCGTGAGTGCTCTCCTCCCCTGTGACTGGCATGATGGCTAACGGGATTGAACGCAGTGCACGCGCGGGACCGCGGGGCGGAGACGTGGTGGAAGTCGTTCACGACGGGCAAGAGCGCCGAGACGCTCGGCGGCGTGCCGCACGACACGTACGGGATGACGTCGCTGTCGATCCGGCAGTATGTGCTGGGCATCTACAAGCAGCTTGGGCTCCGCGAGAAGGATATCACCAAGGTGCAGACGGGCGGGCCGGGTGCGTTGTCTTTTTTTCTTTCAATCATTAGTACCTATGCTGATTTCGTCGTGTTCTTCAGATGGGGATTTGGGATCGAGTGAGTGGTGCTCGTTGTTGTGTACAGCGACTTGAGGAGGCTGACGACGTGCAGATGAGATTTTGTTGAGCCAGGACAAGACGGTAGCGATCATCGATGGGAGCGGCGTGCTCGCAGACCCGGTGGGGCTCGACCGCGCGGAGCTCGTGCGCCTCGCGAAGCTGCGTGTGCCCGTCGCCAACTTTGACAAGACTAAGCTCGGCAAGGATG